CCTAAACCCTAAACATAAACCCTGAACCCTAAACCCTAAACCCCCTGAAGCAAACACCCTCCACTCGACACCTGCGACGAAACTCCCAGGTTGACCAAGGTGCCATAGACTCGAAGACACCAAGTGTTAAACCCTAGCAGCACGACAGAAGCCCTCTCCATCCCCAGGAAAAGCCAGCTGGCAAAATCCTACTCTTATTCCAGCAGAGCCATTATGTAACACCTCAGCAACCTACACAAAACGTGAACCTTAAACTAAACCCTAAACCCTAAACTCAACCCTAAACCCTAAACTAAACCCTAAACCCTAAACCGAACCCTAAACCCTAAACCAAACCCTAAACCCCTAAACCCGAAACCCCAAACCCTATAACACCCTCTTCGCCGGGTGGCCTGGGCATGTGAGACCCCGATAGTTGCAGAAGACGCAGCTGTCAAGCTCTGCCTTCACATGGGTTTATAGTTTAGGGGTTAATGTAGGGGCATTAATAATTAGAACAGGGTTGGGGGGGGGGGGGGGCCCATTATACTATAATTAAAATAAGGAACCCACAAAATAGTAATGGTAATTTTTTGAGGCCCCATATATTAGAGTTTTCGCGCAGTGACGGCCCAGAGTCAGTCTTTTGTTTAAGCCCTAAACCCTAAACCCTAAAGTTTACTTGGAGGGCCATGGGACTTAGTAAGTAAGGTTCTAGGTCCCTTAATTGCGTTGTAGGTAGATATAAGTACAGCTACCTTAACTATAACCCTACTTGCTAAGTCCCATGGTCTTTTAAGTAGGGATTCGGGCTATGAAGCAAACGCTGAAGGCTTCTTTTGTCAAAAGCCAAACCCGTTAACTCCCAATTCCAGAGCGAGGCTCTTACATCCACCCCCTCCCCTCCCAAACCCCTAAACCTTGGACCCTAAACCTAACCCCCAAACCCTAAACCCCAAGCCTTAAACTCTAAACCCTGAGCCCTAAATCCTAAGCCCTAAACCCTAAAGCTTACACACTAAACCTTCGACCCTAAATCCTAAACCCTAAGCCCTAAACCCTAAACCTTCAACCCTAAATCCTAAACCCAAAGCCCTAAACCTTAAACCCTCAACCTTCAACCCTAAATCCTAAACCCTCAGCCCAAAAAGCTGCTGGTTCAAACCCCTAAACCCTAAACCCAAACCCTCAACCCTAAATCCTAAACCCTAAGCCCTAAAAGCTGCTGGTTCAAAGCCCTAAACCCTGAACCCTAAACCCTAAACCCTTAACCCTGAACCCGAAACCCTAAACCCTGAACCCTAAGGCCTAAAAGCTGCTGTTTCAAAGCCCTAAACCCTGATTCCTAAACCCTAAACCCTGAACCCGAAACCCTCAACCCTGAACCCTAAGCCCTAAAAGCTGCTGGCTCAAAGCCCTAAACCCCAAACCGCCCAAACCCCAAACCCTAAACCCTAAACCCTAAGCCCGAAGCCAGGCGGCATGGTGCTGCGGGGTGCAGAAGCAGTCCGCCCGGCTCGAAGCCCCCGGCTCTGAGTCCTTCAACGGTTTAGGGCTTCGGGTGTAGGATTTAGGGCTTTGGGGTTTGCTTTTAGGGTGTAGAGTTTACGGCTTTGGGGTTTGGGTTTAGGGTTTAGGGCTTAGGGCTTAGGGTGTAGAGTGTAGGGTTTAGGGCTTTGGGGGTTTGGGGTTTAGGGTTTAGGGGTTTTGGGTTTGAGAGTTTAGGGTTTAGGGTTTAGAGTTTTTGGGTTTAGGGTTTAGGGTTTTGGGTTTTGGGTTTTTGGGTCTAGGGTTTGGGTTAGGGTTTGAATTGTGTTTGCTTTTGGCTTCTTTCGGGTTCCCGTCGGTTTTGCTTGGTTTTGACTTTAAGCTTCGTACGCTGCGTGAAGCCCAAGACCCAAAACCCTTACTCCTGAGCCCTAAACCCTACACCCTACACGCTAAACCCTACACCCTACATCCTAAACCCTAAACCCTAAACCCTAAACCCTAAACCCTAAACCTTAAACCCTACACCCTATACCCTAAACCCTAAACCCTCAATCCCCAATCCTAGGAAGGCCCAAAACTGTCCGCGTTGGCGGGGCAGCTGAGGCTGCAAATGCCGTTGCCGACGTTGGGCTTGTAAAGGCCTGGGCAGCTCGGGTCTCCGGCTTCTGGGTTTTAGGGTTTAGGGTTTAGGGTTTAGGGTTTAGGGTTTCGGGTTTAGGGTTTAGGGTTTCGGGTTTAGGGTTTAGGGTTTAGTTAGGGTTTCGGGTTTCCGGCTGAATGTAGAGGCCTTAATCATTTTCAATAGGGTTTAGGATTTAGGGTTTTGGCTTTAGAGTTGAGGATTTAGGGTTTGGGGGGTTCCTTTTAAGGGTTCCTTAAAGGGTTCTATAAGGGCTACTATAAGGAATTTAGGGTATAGGGGCCTCAATATTTAGAATAGGGTTTTGGGGGTTCCTTGTTATAGTTATAATATAATATACCCCCAAGCCCTATTCTAATTATTAAGGCCCCTATATTAAGGTCAAGGGTTTTGGATTTAATAGGATTTGGGATGTGAGGTTCAGGATTTAGGATTTAAGGTTTAGGACTTGGAACTTAAGGTTTAGGACAAGATGAAGGCTTTGTGAATCGCACGGGTCTTACTTAAGGATCAGGGGACCTATTTAACAGTGGCGATGAGTGTGGCTAGAATTCGGTTAGTCCCACATAGTTACACAGGGATCTACAACTCTACTTACAACACACACAAAAACGACTCACGAAGTAACCTTAGCTTAGCCTCCAAGAAGACCCTGAATCATAGACACATTATAGGACTCCAACACCAGTTTCAACCTCCGGCTTTGGATTTAGGGTCCCTATAGACAGCCCAACGACCCTTATCTGACTTGGGAACATGTCCTTAAACATGTACCGCATATCACAACAGTGTCTAGAGTATGTCTTCATAGGGGGATATTCGCATCTCAGCAAGTCTCGGAACTTGTTTGTATCCGCACCCACACAATCGCACACACAAACACAAATCAAGCATGCATGTATACATATGTATATAGAGAGAGAGAAGGCGGGAACGGGGGAAGAGGCAAACAAGTAGGGTTGCAATTGTGTACACAGATTCCTACCACAGAGCAGAAGGGAAGTGACGGTGTCGACGAGGCCTCTCTGTCTTGAACGGGCCAGATGACTTATGTCATGGCAACTTTCTTTTACCATTTCTCTCTGACGAAACAAATGGAAATTGAAAAAAAAAATAAAATAAAAAAAAAAAGAATTTAAATATTGATAAAATACACCTGATAGTTAGCAAGGCAAGTAGACATCTTGAAGTTACGACTGCATAAACCAGCAAGGCACAAACACCGATATGTGAGCACACGGACTCCTCCCTCGACAATGCAACCCGACATGGGCCAATCCAACATGTATAGATACTGACATCCCGACCGAAGTAATCATAGCCGTACATACAACTTTAACTCGACGTGAGCACACAAGTAACCCCTAAACCCAGAACCCTCCAACAGAAAGGAGAGCCTGCAACTCTCATTTGCAGATGGGATACCACGGGCGCATGGGGTGCAAGCTTCTGTCTCGTTGATCCTGAGGAGAAGAGCTAGGATTAGGGGGTCCCTTGGGGATATAGACCCTCTCAATAAGGTCCCTTTTAAGAGACCCACAAGTAGCGTTAAGAAGGGTCCCCTTTAAGGGGTCTCCCTAATGCTACCTAGGACCTAGGAGAGGGGTCGAAAGCCCCACCAAGTCTGAGGCCTGCGGAGCCCAAGTCCAAACCCCTAGCTGTAGGGTTCCCTAAACCCTGAATGCTGAACCCATCCCTCTCTCTCTCTCTCTCTCTATATATATATATATGTACGGTTTAGGGTTTAGGGTTTAGGGTTCAGGTGTATATGTAGCCCTCATACAGCCCGTAAAGGTACCCGCAAAGGTTATGAAAGCCAAGTTCTCAACCCCAAACCTTTTTGGCTTCAGTTCTGGGTGATGTCACGCTGATCCTGAATTGCGGGGCATTAACCCTGAACCCTAAATCCTGCTCCCTCCATTGCCAAAGGTGTCTCAGAGACTTGAACATGCAAGCTTTATGATTTCTGCTGAATTACGGTCCATCGAAGCACGCCTAAACCGTAAACCCACCGAAGCGCAGATGTTCATGTATATGTATTTGTATATTTGTATGTGAACATAACTCGGTGTGTGTGTGTGCATATATCATATAACATATGTGCGTGTGTATATATAATTATATATGTATACACACGCTATATATATATATATATATACACATTAATATATATATATATATATACACATAAGTGCTACTATACATATATATATATAGTGTGTACATGTCCGCCCAGCTCGCCCGGACTGCTACGACAGAAAACTTTGGCTCCAACCCTTGAGAAACCCTTCGGAGGCCTGAAACACAACGAACGTCGTTTGAATCCTCATCCCACAGCTTCTGAACCTTAAACCGTCGAATGTAGGGGCGTTAATAGTTAGAATACGGCTTTGGGAGTTCCTTATTATGATTATGAGTGTGGCATACTATAGCAGGCCTTATACTCTAGGGTTTAGGGTATAGGGGCCTTGATAATGAGAATAGGGTTTTGGGAGTTCCTGACAATAATTATGGTATACGATACCCCAAACCCTATCCTAATTAAGCCTCCCATATTACAACCATAACACACTTAACCCGAAACCCCGCAAACCTTAAAACCCTAATTCTAAAACTTTGAAGCCCTAAACTCGAAGCCCGGGAACACTTCAGTGGTGTAGCCGGCGCTGCACATGCAATCCGTCGGAATCCTCTGCAGTTCGCGCTCATTCAAGCGACGGTCGATACTACTGAAAAGGGTTTGGGGTTTAGGGTTTAGGATTTAGAGTTTTGGAATTAGGGTCTTGCGTACTAGTTGAATGTAAACGCAGGGTTAGAAACCCCCTCCCTAGTAATGACCAAAGTAGGAATTCTAATGAATATGTTGAGCAGGTAAAGGAAGGTGCGTGTTTGATCGGGGGTGTCCACTACTAAAACAACAGCTAACCGATCAGATAACCTCCCCTGCAGTCACGAGTCTGGTGTTTTTGCACCCCTAAATCGCCCTAAACCCCTACACCCTAAACCCTAAACCCTAAACCCTACACCCTAAACCTTTTGGGCGTGTAACCAGAGTTTGCTCTGGGATAGGGTGCATTTCACCAAAATGTCGCGACCTTGCGTCAGGCCCAACTATTCCGAAGTAGGGTTTAGAGTTCACCGCCCTAAACCCTATAAACCCTAAACCCCTAAACCCTAAACCCTAAACGGCCCTAAAATCTAAACCCTGAACCTCTAAACTCTAAACCCTAAACGCCTGAACCCTAAACCCTCAACCCCTAAACTCTAAATCCTAAACCCCTGAACCCTAAACCCTGAATCCCTAAACTCTAAATCCTAAACCCCTGAACCCAAAACCCTGCACCCCTGAACTCCAAATCCTAAACCCTAAACCCTAAACTCTAAATCCTAAGCCCTAAACCCTAAACCCTAAACTCTAAGCCCCCTCAACCTGCTCCTTGGTTCAGATGACTGGCGGACTAACAAACTGAAATCCTAAGCCCTGGCCCTTTAGGGTTGAGGGCCCTTTAGGGCTTCAGGGCTTTGAGAGTTTAAAGTTTTAGGGTTCAGGGTTTGGGGGGTTTAAGGGGTTTAGGGGTTTAGGGGGCTTTAGGGCTTTAGGGGCTTTAGGGGCTTTAGGGCTCTAGGGGCTTTAGGGCTTTAGGGGGTTTAGGGGCTTAGGCATTTAGGAGTTTAGGGGTTTAGGGCTTTAGGGCTTCAGGCGTTTAGGGGTTTGAGGGCTTGGGGCTGCAGGGGTTTGGGGGGTTTAGGGGTTTAGGGATTTATTGGTTTAGGGGTTTAGGGGTTTAGGGCGTTGCTTCCCCTCCCAGGCAGACCCAAAAAGCTATGTCGGTCTCAAGCTAGAGGTTTGGATTACGATAAAGGGTTTAATAATGACCAAAATTATGTTGGGGGGTCCATAATACTATAATTACAAAATAGTTTCCCCCCAAGGCCCATTCCAATTAAGGTCCCAAGAATACTGACTTTGGGAGGCTTTCCAAACTCTAAACCCTAAACCCTGAACCCTAAACCCTGTCGAGACGCTCGGCCTTTAAGATTGAGGGTCCTCGGGTTGAGGTTTTCGCGTCTATGGCTGAACCCTACATTAGGCTTCAGGGTTGAGGGTTGAGGGTCCTAAACCCGAAACCCTAAATTAGGCTTCAGGGTTGAGGGTTGAGCGTTTAAGGGTCTGGGGCCTAGGTGGAACAATGCCGGTTGGAAGTTGAGAGCGATGGACCGGTGCATACCCCCGTAGACCACATCCTTGTGCTCTTGCTTGCCCTTTCTGCCTTTGCAAGGCAACGGACATGCCGTGCTGCCCAAGGGGCTCACTGCCTTCATCTGCGCCTCAGCAATTTGAAGTTAGCCTGTCCTGAACTCGGGATTCAGCACCAGAGGTCGTTGGGCAGTCTCTCGGACCGAAAAGCCCATCAGTCTAAGGCCCTGGAGCCCTGCATATGTAGAAACCCTCTCCCTTCAACCCGCACAACCCCAAACGCTAAACCTTAAACCCTAAAATCCTAAACCCTGAAACCCTAAAATGCTAAAACCCTAAACCCTAAACCCTAAACCCTAAAAAGCTAAACCCTAAAACCCTAAACCCAGAACCCAGAACCCAAATCCTGGAGCCTAAACCAAAACCTCTGTCAAGTGCGTCCTCGCTCCCGGCGACGCAGTCTCCGAGTTCGGTCCTTACGGCTTGTAAGGTTTAGCCACTACGGTTTAGGGTTTAGGCCTTCTAAACCCTAAACCCTAAACCCCAAACCCTAAACCCTAAACCCCAAACCCCAAACCCTAAACCCTAAAGTTTCTAAACCCCTAAACCCTAAA